AAACTATAGAGGTCGAATGTCTGTCTGTACATAGAAAAAAAATGCTAAAAACCGAGTCAGGGGGATGTAAGAAGAGAAATAGAAAAAAATCCAGATTTTTTTCATTTTTTTTTGTCTGTTTGTACGGGCTAATCTCCGAAACTGTAAAACCGATTTAAACTATATTTTGCATGGTGGTGCCTCATATCACCGGTCAACATTTTAGATACTTTTCATCCCGGAAAAAAAGTCTGCTTAAGTATGTAATTAGGTAGATCTTGATTTTGATTAGACATATTTTTTTTCTAATTCTTCATATACGTAAATAACGTCAACGTTAAATTTAATACACGGATATTCAGCGGCATCTATCCTACAAATATTATAAATGCGAAAGTATGAGGATGTATGGATGTTTGTTACTCTTTCACGCAAAAACTACTGAATGGGTTTTAATGAAACTTTACTATAATTATAGCTCATACATCAGAATAATATATAGGCTACTTTTTTCCCGAAAAAATGTACAATTCCCGTGGGATAGTATACATGAAAGTCTAATTAACAAAATTAGTACTTCAGTAAATGATTTAAATTAAGAGTATCTAAGAGAAGCGTTTGTAACTCTGATCATTTATAAAGATTAGAAAAGTGTTTATGACTAGAAAATATTACAATATAATATTCTAAAAATTTAAACAATAATTAATTTTTAATCACTTTTCCATACAAGCGTAAGCATTCTGTTGTAACCGAGACGCTTTACAACCCCAATAAAACAATGAAGGCGCTTATCAGCCGTTATCAAAGCAGCAAACATAAAATTTATTTGAACGACTCGTCTGTACGTTTGTACGGTCCGACGTTTGTTCTAGTTGTGATGTGATAAGATGTGGAACAATTATCACTATCCGTAATTATTTGGTTTAATATCAACAGATCCACATTATATCCTTATTAGTTATTTAAATGGCAAATTGTAGCAGATATGCTTAACTGATGAAGTTTCTTTAAGAAAAAAATACGATATATTTATTTTAATCATATTTACATATGTTTTTTTATTTCAGTCAGACTAAAAAATATACAAAATTATTTACAAAATACCATATACCATACTTTTTTCTGCACTAAACTCTACATAAATAAAAAAAAATACAAAATTTTTGTACATACCTAACTTTTAATTCAAAACTTTACCAAGCAAATAATAAAAACGGAACAAAGAAAGTACAAATAACTTTATGTTTTGATTTTCGCGGTCTTGGCAAATGCTATGTATTTGAAAATAATGAACTGTCCACCGTCTGTCCAATTAATTTTAAATTAGTAGAGGCTTCAAAAATCTATTTCAATAAATATTCGAAACAAAAACTCTAACTTGTCAGTTTACATTACGTTTTTTTTTAATTATGAGCAGCATTCAACGTTGTCGATCGTCTGCGCGTGACTTTTCCCAAAACAATGGAATTATGCTGTCACTATAAAGATGTTTGCATCAAGATTAATATTTGAAAGTTACAATTGATGAAATCGACTGTATTTGTGAATATATGACGATTTATTGTGTAACGTTCAGATGGCCGAAAACTAAATTCTTAGCTTTTACATATTAGTATACTCTTTCTTCCTATATGTTCACCCGGATAACTAGCTCTCACCATGGTTTTTCTGTGATGCGGTAACAGACAGGCAGACAGACAGACAGACAGTTAGATAAAAATTCTAAAAACTATAGGTTCGGCCTCTGTATCGATAATAATGTTTATTTCAATAAGATTTTCCAAAACATATTTAGTGTACAGATTCGGCTTACTTTCAATTTTATTATATGTATAGATAAATAGAAAAGTGTACAAGTAAATATTATGAGACTTGAACGTGATTCAATAGCGATGCTAAGCTTAAAATACTCTAAGTGTTACGTAAGAATGTTCTTTTCACATTGATTATAAATATTTTATTTCGTACCCATATTTCCAACAATTTCTTACTATTATGTATTTCGTCCTTGTAGCAACCACTTAATATGGCCTCATTTTTTGGGGGCGCGCAATAAAAAGAGTTAAAATTATTAAAACATAAAATGAATTAGAAATATATTTTTTTAATTTTTAAAGAGTTGATATTTTTAGTTGTAAATTCATATAAATGAATATATGATTAAAGATAACCTACGTTATTTTAAATGTAATGCAGCTTTATATTTGTAAAATAATTTTCATTTCCTACATTCTTAAAACAAACAATTTCAACTTTTTATAATAGATAGATTAGATTTATCTAAATTGTAGTTATAAATAAAACTGTGCATATAAAAAACTTTTTAACAAAAAAATAAAAACCGACTTCAAACAAAAGCACTAAAAAGTAAAAAATAACTGATTGGTAGTTTTCATTTACTATACATACCTAATCAAATATTTTCGAAGTCGGTGTGCTTTGGCTAAGTAATTAAAGCCTACCTATTAAATACATACCTAATCAAATATTTTCGAAATCGGTGCCAGCCTCTACAAAGCAAAGCACACCGACTTCGAAAATATTTGATTAGGTATGTATAGTAAATGAAAACTACCAATCAGTTATTTTTTACTTTTTAGTGCTTTTGTTTGAAGTCGGTTTTTATTTTTTTGTTAAAAAGTTTTTATTTTTCCCTTTTTAGTGTAGACAGTAGTAGCAAAGTAAGAATTCTAAAGTGTTAGGCTTGTCAAACCAAACAAAATAAGCCCAAACTCAAAGTATCTACTATCAGTCGTTGAAGAGTTCCACCTATCCATCTTCTGGCCTTGCCATCAGATCAGGTCAACAATACCGAACCACTGTACTATCAATGGAAATAGAAACACTTGCAAAGTTTCAAGTCAATATGACAATTAGAAGTAGGTTAAATTTATTATTAGCTATTTTTCCACCCTTAGGGGTGGTATTTTTTTTTAAATTTAAATGGGACCAATCTGGAAGTATACACTTTCAAACAAAACAAAAATTGTCAAAATCCGTTAATAAATGACGAAGTTCTGAGGTAACAAACATAAAAAAAAAATAAAAAAAAATACAGTCGAATTGAGAACCTCCTCCTTTTTGAAGTCGGTTGAAAATGCTTTCTATGAATAATTTGTTAACAAGCGCTTAGACAAATTTACGCTAAAGCGACGGGGCGTCAACATCCCTAACGAATACTCGTACATTATGTCATCTTGAACTAATTAGTCATTAGATGTTAAAGTATTTTACTTAAATTATAGAGCAACAGTGTAAGACATTTGTTTATTAATAAACTTTCATAATTTTCGAACAGAAAAATTAAATTAAATGTATATTAAATATACTATTAAAATGCGAAAGTTTGTATGTATATTGTGTATGTATGTTTGTTACGCTGAAGTGACTGGACGGATCTAGATGAAATTTTTAAAGAACTATGGACTGGTGAGTGGAGAACATATAGGTTACTCTAAATAATGAAAATGTCAAATGTACTGCCTGTATATAATATGTATTATATATGCAAAAACCCCTTTGGGACGCACCCGAGAGAAGCGAGTGGAAGTCGCTAGTCATATGAGAATTGTATGTTTATTTGTTTATTTGCAATGTATGCTCCACTAAACTATTCACTCGATGACAATTAAACTGCCCAGCTGTTGTGGAAACGCCCTTGATAATTTCTGACACAGATTTATCAACGTACGGTGGCACACGAGTTGAATGGAATAATTTGAGATTACTTTAAATATAATACTTTAAAAATAACAAATTATAATCAATTATTAAGATGATATTTAGTACAATATGTAACTTTGTATCATATAAATAGCCATGGTGCGATAGGTGTAGTAATTAATAATTTTGTAAGTGTTTAATGTGTGCATGAATCAAAAATATCTATACCTATCTATAATCCTTAGCAAAAACATCGTATGGGATAGCATTAAAAATTCCTTATGTGTACATTGCTGTATTTATTTCATTACTTGTAATTGATATTTTTAACATATTATCTTTTTTTAATTCAATGCGGATAAGATGGGCGGTTCTATTAGTTTAATACATATGTATATGTAGACTATCTCTCTTATTTTATACTTCAGACGACAATGCTCATAACGTTTGTTGGATGTACCTACTGTTTTTTTATGGTGTTCAGTGACAAACGAGCAGACAGACCACCTGATGGAAAGCAGTACGTGTCGCCCACAACGCCCACGGTTCATGCACTTAGGTTTTATGTAACAAAAATGCAGAACCGTAGGTGCGTTGTCACTGTAAGGACTAAGTTGATTTGCCTCTTGCCTGTAATTGCGCTGGTTACCTTATCCTTCAAACCGGAACACAACAATGTAATCATTGTTGCTTGGCGGCAGAAATAGATAAGGGGGTGGTACCCATCCAGTCGGACTCCTCAAGCTTGACAGAGTCCTACCACCGGTACGTTATGCTAAAATGGATGGATTTGGATGAAATTTAGTAGGTACATAGATAAATTATGACCTGAACACATATGCTGCTGTTACTACATAGAAGTGAGAGTAAGATTTAACTAATATTAAAGATAAGATTAAACTATTTCTCGAAGCCATTAAAGAAAAAAAATATTAAACTCACATTTACAACTTGGTTAAGGGCCAAGAAAGAAAATGACGAAAGCTAAAGAAGTATAAACACACATATGTATATATGTATATACGTATATATGTATATACGTATATATCTATATACCTACGTATATATGTATATACGTATACGTATATACTGTGTAATTGGTATGGTTTTCCCCATAATTATCAGCATATTTTTTAATATGCTTTATTACCCATGATAAATTATATTGTTGATATTTATGCTTTTAAACAAGCCACGACAATGATAATCTTTATGAATCGACGACACGGGAGCCGTTAGTTGTCACATATTTAAAAGACAATTTACCATTTGTACTTTAACTTTCATCATATAGTGTGAATAAAAAAAGTCTATTATTTGTTATAATTATGTTTAAAGATCTTATTTTGTTACAGTATGGGCGGAGACAGGCGAATTTAGAGATAGCGGACACTCGTCACTCGCGTCCGGCGGCTCGGGGGTAGAGCAGTCGCTATACGCGCCGCCCAGACCTCGCCGCGACCGCAAAATGACAGATGATAGTATGTATTCCTTCAAAATTACGATATTTTTGTACATTTTCACACACCCATTGCGGATTAGACTGTAAGGACCTGTGTAATATATCACTGCGTTTTCTCTTCCCGCTTGTATTAAGATACTGTTGGCTAGCGGCACCTATATCCGTATAGAATCCAAATCAGACTAAAGAAACAGTTATGCTCATTGTACCTACATTTTTATCTCATATAGAATTTGATCTCGTTACTTTTGGCTTAGGTACCAGGTTAAATCCGCACAGCAAGTTTCGTTTTATTTGCAAATTATTCTAGTACGAAATCGAAACCTAATACTGCCCACCTGAGCCTAAAGTGCAGTAATAGACATTTTGGTCGGTTTTGAGTTAAATATATATTCTAAATCCCCATTTTAGTAGCTATCAGTCAAATTAATTCTTTTTTCTGTAGCGCTAATAAAAGTATTTTATTTTAATGTTTTTTCGGAAGGTGTAACAGCAAAAATATCACAAATCTGTTAAAATATTCCATGTTTACCAACTAAACCGCAGTACAATTAATACTGCATAAGATTTTTCTCTGCTTCCTAACTAAACTGCAGTGTTTTATCATATTTTGTGGCACTTAAAATAGTAGTTTGTTCTAGGAGATTCAAGAAAAAACTTATTAAAATGCAGTATTATTCGACTCTATACAAATTGATTATACTGCAAAGGTTAAGAAAAAATATTTTTTATTTATATTCCTAATTAAAGTGCAGTATTAACATTCCATACTGCACATTAACATGTGGGGGATTTTGTAATTTCTTGTGAAAAACTAAAAGACATGCAGTATTTAATAACTTTACTGCAGTTTAACTTGTAGGATGTTTTGTAGTTGCTTGTAAAAGACCATTTAGTTTACAATATTTATAAATTTTACTGCATATTTGTTAGTTTGCTCCATCCAATTCATACTACCTAAGATACTTAAAGTCAAATATTATTCCCTAATACTGCGTTTTAATAGGTAAAATTATTAAAATATTAAAACACAGGACAGGCAATATCGCGGTTTGAGGCAGTCCTTCTGTCTGTCTGTCTCAAGGATCTGTGGCTTAAGGCTGACTTGACATGCCATGCTGTGTCTGTACCAAAGAGATATGGAGGGTAGAACTAAGGAGAACTATTTCTCGTATAAAAAGTGACCGCTGACAAGCATTAAATTGGTGGCGCCACAGAAAACAAGTATATGAATCTATACATCTATACAGATAAATAAAATTGTAGTGTCTGTTTGTAATGTCAAAATAAACCTTTTTACTAAATGCATATGAAATTATATACGGTACTTATAAGAAAAACTATTTTTTTTAATTTTTTGTCTGTCTGTTTGTTCCGAATAATCTCTGAAAAGGCTGGACTGTTTTTGACGGACTTTCAGTGGAAGGTAACTGATGTTATAGGGAGTAATATAGGCTACTTTTATTTAAAAAAAAGAATTAGCGTTCCGCTCAAAAAAAAGTATCCAGGAACGAACCCGAGTGAGGCGAGGGTGAGTCGCTAGTTTAAAACATAACGTCATAAAAGTAAGTAGGTGAATTAAACAAGGAAAGAAAGATTTCCGCTTTGCTGTGGCGCACTTTTCTAAATAGTTCTAGCATAGGCAAACAGCAATATAATTATATATTATTTTCAAGTAATAATAATTCAGCACACGTCACTCCGTTAAAAACTACTAACTTCACATCACATCTACTTGCTACGCTAGTGCTGTAAAGCCTAGTTCGCAATAAGCTAGTATTTTAGTCTAGTAGCGAGTAATTTAGTAGCTAAATTACTCGCTACTCACCAAAAATCGTTCGCACTTTGGTCGAGTACAGTTTACAAGTGAGTGGTGTTTTGCAAGATGAACAGCCTACAACGCAATAAAGTAAATAAACTGATTAAGCTGATCGTAACGGCTATTTTAGAAGAGGTGGATGAGGAAATTTGTGTGATTAATAAAAAGAAGCTATGGGTACGAAAATGGATCGAAAGACAAGATAAACTAGGAGCTACTAATTGTCTTCTGAAGGAATTAGCATTGGAAGATCCCAAAGAATACTTCGATAGTTTGAGAATGTCCGAAAGTTGTGTATATTTTCTGTTAATGAATGTTATGGCGGCAACTAATAAACTCGACTAATACGACAGGTTCGTACTTGTTTAGCCGGTGAACCAGTGAACTCGGACGCGTGGTGGGGGCTGCAATTTGCCCAAAAAAATAGAATAAAATGGATTGACTCGACTAAATTACTTACTAAACTAATCGACTAAATTTTTAGTGTTCAGACACGTTTAGTTACTAAATTACTCGCTACTAGACTAAAATACTAGCTTAATGCGAACTAGGCTTAACGGTGAGTTTCTGAGCTATAATTTGCTGCTCACTACTGGACACTTTTTCAACCTGTTTCCCATACAAGTTAATTCTCCTTAGTTCTCCCTTCCATAATCTTTTCAGACTATTATTTTTGTAAGACAAGAATACTCATTTAGTAATTAGTTATGTTCAGAAGAAAGATTTTATGTAAATTTTATTGATCCATGCATGAGAAATACATGTGATATAGTTTTATAGAGGATTAACTAGTTAAGATTATCAACATCTTGTAAAGATTGTTATATTGTTAGTCATATAAAACAATTTACACTATTAGATTATAATGTACAATGTTTTGATGAATAGTTTTAATAGCATAGTCATAAATGCATGTCCAGTTTTGTTTAAGAAATTACATATTTTTATCAAAGTTAAAGGTAATTTTATATTACTATAAGTGTGGAATATCAGTGTTTTGTTCAAAAAAACAGATTAAATAGCAGTATTTTCATAATATTACTGCACTTTAGTTAGTAACAATCATGGAAGAAATGTCTAAAATGCAGTAATAACAGGATTTACTGCATTTAAAACAGTTTTTGAAAAGATTATACAAATAAAGTGTGTGTAGTAATAGGGGCAAAAAAATTAAAATTGCCATAATTATAGTTTTTTATAAAAAAACTAACGTAACAATGTTTAGTATTTTAGTTTGGTACATATTCTTTCACTTTACATTCAAGGTTTTATCGAAAAGTCTCTTTTTGATATATTTTTATGGATTCTAAACTTTAAGCGCGTTTTTCTCGAATTCGTGTTTTTGCTGTTACTGCACTTTAGGTTCGGGAGGGCAGAATAGCTGAAAGGATATCATGTTGAAAAAGCTTAATTTACTTTCGACATAATTCTGCATTATTTCTAAAATATTAAAAATTCCTCGAAACTTCTAAGATTAAACCATTTATAAACAATGCAGAATTGGACTTAAAACTGGTGTATCTTAATGTTTGTTGTTATGTTTAAAGTAGAAATTTTTATTAGGTTTTTTTTTAATTTTAATTAAATCAATTTCTATATTATGAATTTGCATTAGTACAAAATTAATTTTTATTTGTGTTAGTTAATGAAGACATGCAATACGGATGGTGTGTACATATATTATTTATATGCATTTTTAATATTTATAAGGGCAACTGTTGAGTTTCTCGCCGGTTCTTCTCAGCAGAACTGCTTTCCGAGCCGGCGGTAGCTTCCTCACGAAGTGACTACACTGATGCTCTTTAAATTATATTAACGATTCAAAAGTGCTTATAATAAATCTAAATGAATAAATTTTATTTCAATAAAATACAAAATTATATAAAATATTGTAAATATAAATACTATAATATAAATATTGTATAATTCAGAACTAAGTTTATTAAGAAGACGAGAGTAGCGACAAATACACGAGCAAATAACACGATCTAATGCTCATAGAGTCATGTAGGCAGTACGCGTGTAGAGAATCCGCCTTTGATGATCGTTACATGATTAGTGACATTTAATACAATTGTAACATGTTAATATAAGATTATATTATGGACTTATTGACACGATTCAATTATGTATTATATTTTGATAAGCTTATACTGCCTTTTAACTCTATGAAACTTGAAAAAAGAATCTGTTTTATATTGCATATTTAATATATACTGTTTGTATATATATATAAATAAATATTGAATGTTATATAAGTTGTTGAAGGATAAAGCTGCAAGATAGCACTTGTGTCTGATAAAATCGAAGTTAACAATGTACAGGACTATACGAATAAGTGCCATCAGGGAGCACTCATTGCATAACTTGAAAGCAACATTAAAGGAAACGTGTTATCAGGTACGAGTGTCGAGCGTGAAGTGGCATCGTGTACTGATATCGAAACACATGTTAACTGCGCTATTTACCTTAGTATGTCGTCGGCCAAACGCAAAGGTTGTTTTTAAATGATGGATGGGTCGGCGGGCGCACAAAGCGTGTATATGATAACACTTATCGGCCGTATCGTAGTATCGATACTTTAATCGCGCGCGAGAATGCAAGCGGTAGCGTCCTGCCCAAACTGAGACCTTAATCCCACCTCGTTCATTATACATCGACGACTATACCAACAGATTGATCATTTTAATATACTATCTATAGATAGTATATTAAAGTAATGTATTACTTGTAGATATGTTAAATAGGTAGTACACACATACAGAACTACAATATAATACTAATTGATAAGTTTTAAAATCTTTTATATATATAACTAGCCTCTCACCCTCGCTTCGCTCGTCTTCATCCCTAAGTACGTTTTGACGGTTAGTATGGAATAGATAGGCTATAGGTATATACATTTTGCAGCTCTCCAACCATCTTCATACAAACAAATAAAATCCAAGTGAAACAGTATATCGTAGAAAGAGAAAGTGTCAAATCTACAAATGCATTGAAGTACTTTATATTAATTTAAGATTGCTTTTATAAATATATAGTAAAGTAGTAAGGAAAAAAATGTGATTTTACGTTTTTCCGTAAAATATTGCCAATTTTTCTCTTCATTAAAACCTTCCTCAGACTTCAACGAATATTTGAAATTTTTTTTTGCCGAATTAGTACAGTCGTTCGCGAGATTTGCGCTTAGCAACACATTTAGCCATTCATTTTTATATATAAGAAAATTGGTCTACAAATGTGAAAATAATAAATATAAGAAAAGTATTGGGTAGATATGAAATGTAATGGGAAGATAAGTATATTCTTTTATTTCTTTGTAAAAATCCACAATTATATTATGTTTTAAAAATTTGAAATACATAATCTATATGATTTACTTATTTAACATAATTTATGACAATTTATTATCGCATCTACTTGCAATGTTACGATAAATTATCACGATCACTTTTGATTTTTTAGACAGCTTTATCAGAGATTGCATAAATTGGTAAATGCCGACTTTAAGCTAAAGTTCATTATGTCATTAGGTATAGTTAGATACGATCAGTAAGATAAGAATTAATATATTTATCTTTTTATAGCCCAGTTGTTTGGTAGTTTTAACTGAAAAGTTTTCCGGAAGTTGAAAATTGGGGATTTTATAGATTTCAATGTGTTTTTTCTGAATTTCAATTTGTCCACCTCGTGCGCTAACTATTAGACTAACTAAAAACTATATCGTGACTGGACTATTAGACGTAAATAAAAATCATGCACGTTCGACGACACGTTTGGCTCAGTTTGTAGTGACCCTACTTGCTGTACCAGCGGTCGCGGGTGCGAGTCCCGCTGGGGGCATTCATTTGTGTGATGAGCACGAATGTTTGTACTCCAGTCATGGGTGTTTATATTTATAATATGTATTTATTTAAAGTTATATACGTGTAGTGTATCAACTATCTGGTATCCATAACACAAGCCTCGTAGCTTACCGTAGAACTAGATGGTGCTGTGTATTAAAGTCCCAACGTATAATTATTATTATTATTGGTTTTGAATGTCAGTTATATGTATTCTTTTCTTCCAAACATCTTTCGTATGTTAAACATTTGCTAATATAACTCATATCAAAGTAGTATCTTGTTTCAAACCTGGAAATAAACAATATAACTGATGCATTACTCGTGGCTTGAGTCAATTAGCAAATTAAGGTGTTCAATCATTGTGCAAACTAAGTCATAAAACTCATACTAAAATTTTCCGTTCATTGACCTATTTCAAATATTTTTGAATATTATTCATGTATACAGACAGTACATATTATATGAGTTGAAATATTTAACTAAATTTTCATTATAGCTTTAATAACGTTTTAAATGAATAAATATAAATGTAAAATTATTATAGTTTTAATTACATATATAGAAATTTTACATAAATAAATAAATTTTAATACAACAATAGACACTTGTACATGAATAATATTAATTTTATTTGGTTAGTCTTCATCAAGATAACATACCGCAATTATGTTGCTGAAGTTAATCCGATTATATTATAAAATTACAAATGAAAACAGTTTGTAGCAAGATAAAAGCCTTTATCATAATACCTATACAGATATTATGTTTCTGTATTAGGTATACCTACATAATAAACTGTAAGTCAGAAATTGTAATGTGCCTTTGTAATCGTTGGTATATATATTATTTAATTGAGTAAATCGGCTTTTTATTTATCGTATTAAACTCTATAAGCTTAAAATATCGCTTATCTAGAAAACTTTGCCTTCTAAATAATATTAATTATTATAATTATAAAAAAATGGTAGTTGATTTCTCCTTCATTCAAGAAGTGACTAGTGTGATTTTTTTATATAGAGTCTATTAATTTATAGAATAATTCAAATTTCTTCTTTTTTATCACTGCTATACGGCTACTATGGCTTTATGGACTAAGATCCCACTGCAAGATTGCTACGTTCATAGCGTATTTAATCGAAATCAATTTTTTATATACAATAATAAAAGGGACAATATGTTTTGACCGGGGTGCCTATTCAAATGTGCCCGCTAGTATGTTTAATTAACTAAATAATAGTTGACTTTTTGGAATAAAAACGATGTATTTGTTATTACAATGAATTATACTCCACTTCACAGAACTATACGTAGAGATCTTGAAAAATGATAGCTGCCGTTGCGCATTTGGCCACAACCTCTTCGCAGCCAGGTGTAAGCGGGTCATATTTTGGGACGTTTATACGTTCATCGCGTATGTTCATCATTTATATATCAAATAAAAGCTAAATTTTATCTGTACCTGATAAACTACGTCTGCTTATATGTAAAAGTGTCCGCAAAAGTGGTTGGGAGTAATTAAAAATGTTTTTGTTACATTTATCCGTTCATGGCGGATATTCATCATTTATATATCAAATTAAAGCTAATTTTTTCTGTGCATGATAAAATACCTCTACCTATGTAACAGTGGCCCCAATGGAAAGAAAAGAAGGAAAGAATATAATATTATATGACATTTGTCAGACAATAACAACGGTTCAAGCCCTCCGACTCTCTCCACACAAAAAATCACGCCAATCCGGCACTGTATTTCGACGTGAAAGAAGGACAAACAAATAAACAAACAAACAAACACACTTTTACATTTATAATATTAATATGGATTTTATTTTATTTTTAAGTTCTTCATTCATTCTGAGCTTCATTGTCCATACAAAAATGTTATATGTGAATGTGAATAGCATGCACTACGTGTTTTGTAAAGTTTTTCTTATATACTCAACTATTTACAAAATTTACTGTAATGATATTTTATACATAATGTTTATATGATACATATATATGTATGCAGTTTTAAATAATTTCTTAAGACTTACATTTTCTATATTCATGTCTTTTTTCTATATTATTACATTTTCCGTAAAGTAAGAAATTACAAAATGTTTTCATTCAAGTGTTAAGAGACATGTATCACCCCTTAGATTTATTTGGTAAGAAATCTAGCAATTCATGCTTACTACGATAGATAGAGAGGTGCCTACTCATGTTTTTTTGTTTTTAGATATAGTCTGTAATGTAACATTAACCCAGTTCGAGGCTAAGCCAGAGAGTAATTATAGCATGCAAGCGGTTCATTGACACAGGGATTTCGACTAAACCAATATTCGTTGATTGCGATCACGTTATCAGTAACGTATTGATGTAATAACTCCTATCACTTGTCCCCTCACACTCGGCACAGTTCCGCTGTTTACACGACATTTGGCCGAACATAATTATCCTTAAAATATGTTCAACAATTTGGCAAATTAATTTATCTACACTCTTATCGAGACCTATATTAATTTCGCGCATATATTGAGTCTTAAATATCAATATTTATTTTTTAATATTATTTTTTAGACTTGTTTTTTACATTTATTATTTTCTTTATAAAATTTTCCTTTAGATACTCGTTATATGTATATCAATAACAAACCATTATAGTTTAGTACTTTACAAATAAGTTGTCATTTTACGTGCATCTATTAAATATTCTGCTGTAAACAAGTTATGTCATTTTCGTTCTATGAAAATAGACAATAATAAAAAAAAACTTTATCATAAATTACTTTGTGCTGTGACGTCGATCATTGAGAACAACGAATTTACAGCTGCGTCGTAAAAGTTGGGTGCGCCCGCGCCTAATCCCGCGCATTAGCAGCAAGCTACCGTCGGTCATGATTCAATATTTTTTATTTGTAAGCTCAAATTATTTTTATCCTGTGGCAATACTGGAGTTTATTACAACCAGCGTTAAGTAGAGTATCACAGATTTGTGACATTAAATATCTTATATATAAATAAAAATGAATGTTGGTTTATTTGTCCTCTATGCGCTATATAAATCATTGCTCTGATTGTGATAAAACTCTGGTGGGTTATTCTGTATACGCCTGCGAAGGTTCCTGATGTAAAAAAAGAAAATTGTCATTCGAGTTCAGGGACACATCCGAGGGACGCGCGGGTAAATCACTAGTGTATTTTGAAGTAAAATATAACATATTTATACAAGGTAATTTTAGTCGTTTTGCGGTTGCTTATAAAAATTAGCGACTATCACGGTACTCGTAAGTCGTATTACTTTTTCTGGAGACAGACAGTTTTTGTTGGCCGTAGAGGCTATATGGTTAGTTTATATGTAAGTCCAGGCCAAATAAAACGTTTAAGACAATTCCATTTTATTTTTTGTTCTGTGGCTTATAAGCATGCCTTTTGGCCACACGCTTAAAACAAACGCTTAGGACGATATATTTTGACTATGACTGATAGCAGAGAAAAAGTTTAAAAACATAATATTTATAATCGAGATTGTCTAACAAGAAGTAAAATTTTCTATAGACCATTTTCTACCTACCAGTTGTGCTGACGTTAGCATTCTGTATCTATGAAATTAAATATATGTAGCAAAAAGCATTGTGATGATTAAGTTGAATTTATTTATTAGTTGATTAATTAAGTGACACATTGATACAACTACAACAAGATATGTAATGATAAAAACGCTACGAGACGTAACAGTATTGGTTCTATTAATGGATAAAAATGTACATACGGGGCACATTTTTCTACAGTTATTGCTCGCTTTTTTACCGCCATAGAAGAAAACGCAGTAAAGTGTGTTTTCCCTGTCTTTCATTGCCCTTATAATAAATAGGAAAAAGAAACGTTTCTAGCAATCTAAATATGTATATAGTCGATACTTGTGTACATGAATGTTAATATTTTCTATATTATAATTTTAGCTCTACTATTTGTCGTAGATCGTCCACTTACATCAGAACCGACAATAAAGACAGAGTCAACAACTCCCGGCGTGGGTCCCGACGAACCCTTAGACGATAAAGGAGATAAGAAGAATAAGCGGCAACGAAGGCAAAGGACACACTTCACCAGCCAACAACTTCAAGAACTTGAGGCGACCTTCGCGCGAAATCGTTATCCTGACATGTCCACCCGTGAGGAGATCGCGATGTGGACTAACCTTACTGAGGCGAGAGTTAGGGTGAGTTTGATTATTTAGTTTACTATTTTAATCATAAACTATATTAATTTAAGGAGATGGGGGAGTAAGTAACATTTGAAAATACGAGTTCATACGTCATAATTAAAGATATACACACACTCTCTCTATATACATGCACCGGTTTTGCTGTCGAAAATCTATACATATAATAAAATTCTAACTAAGTCAAATCTGTACGTTAAATATTTTTTGGAAAATCTTATTGCAATAGACGTTATTATCGATACAGAGGCCGAATCAATAGTTTTTAGAATTTTTGTCTGTCTGTCTGTTACTGCATCCCGGAAAAACCACTGGAGGGGTTTTATGAAATTTAGTATGGCGATAGCTGGTTATCCGGGTCAACATATAGGATACTTTTTACTACGGGAAAATATCTTATTTCTGAGAAAAAATACAAAAATTGCAATGTAAAAGTATACTTATATGTAAAACTTAAGAATTTGGTTTTTGGACAATTTTTGGGCAATGCTAGTATGTGTTATAAAATGTTAAATACATTTTTAAACTATTTGGATATTTGTGTTAGTAAAGATAGGAGACAGTATATAATAAACAGTTAAAAGGTAATTTAAAAATGCAATACAAAAAATAAAAAGTAGTTTTTACGTCCAAGTTTAAAAAGCGAAAAGAATACTCATATAAATTAGCAAAGCGAATGAGATTTCACTAATTGTAAACAACATCGATTAACTCATTTTATTTAGCTAACCTACTCGTATGTAAATGCCTCTCAATGTTGATTTTATTTATATGTAAATTAAATATTTTTTTGGAAAAAGACAGAAAATATTCATATTTAAATTTACAATACATTAATATAACATTAAACTGAACTTTCTGATACAGACAGTCTGTTGTATTGCATACATATGTATATTTATAAATTAATTACCATCTTTCAACGGCAGGTAAGATTAAGCTTACTGCATATTTTTTGTAACAATTAAAGACGACATGGTAGTTTCAAGAAGCGAAGGTGTATCGTAGAATTAACGAGCGAGATGTTTAGACTAATCGTTGCATCCGGCGCGCATTCGATATATTTTTGTACCCGCCGTCGAACGGAACACCAAATCCCTTAATCCTTGAGGATTTGAACCGTCTATTTCGGTCTTTTCATAATCCACGGCTTAAATGTGATCGCATCCACACACTGTCAATAGTTTTGGAAGGCCCTGTTAGAGATTCTGCGGTTCAACTCAGCTTGTAATATTTACACAGTGTTCAGGATTCGTAGAATATTTTTCGGTTTCTTCGATATGCAGAGCATTAATGTAGCTCTGTTAAGCTCTCGGACGTGTTGATTCGGGAAATTCTTGCAATTGTGTCACGTGAGTGTAAAATATGTTTACGATTGTCTTATTGATGGAATCAGGAAGATTCGTGTAGTATTTTACTTTTTATTATATGTATACGTTGTAAAATTTACGGTTGAAAGTTTTCTTATAAATAGTTTTGTAGCCATTGTTTTTTCTAATGTTGATTTGGTTATATTAAGAAATTTTTTTTTACTTTTATACATTTGATTAGGTACATGTGTTTATTCTATATTAAACTGGACATCCGTTGTTATCTAAGGCAGTTAGGTAGGACGGATCACCAGTAGTTAGTAATAGTTAATCTATCCGCTGTTATTCCACGATTGCTTTTAAATAGCCCTGTTAATTCATAATTAAACTGGAATACTTTACAGATACGTGTAAATCGATATATTTGAGATGAGCCCGGTACATTTCAAGTGTTAGATATTAATTTCGAGTCGTAGCATTCTATACTGAAAGGCAGCGTGTGCTCTTAAAACGTTATATCTCCTTGTTAGTAGGGTTGTAATATTTTATAAAAATAAAACTTGATTTTGTCGAAGTGTATATAGATTATAATGAAAATTTTAAAAACTTAAATAAACATGTTTTGATTTTATGACTTTATGGGAAAACGTATTTTATGGGACTCTCCAAAAGTACTAAATAATTCTAAATTGAAAAGTTTTTACTAGTTCTATTAGCCACTTGTAGCACTAATTAACTCGATAGTATCAAAACAATTTTTTGTCTGCAAGGTTTCCTGTACTTTCAAAATTCCAAATCAATACGACAATTATTAGATATACCTACTTTAAAATCAACTTTCTTGATTAGTTAACCAGTGTGTTAAAACGTGATCAAGAGAAGTACGTTAAAGAATAAAGCGAAGAAAGAGAGGGTATTCTTGTCTATATCATTATATAAATACCTACGTATTAATCCTACGTATAATAAGCTCATCAAACGAAAAATTTATCATAATTTCAAATATGTATAAATATAAGATTTATTTGTATATTTTTACAATCGCCACAAATAAATTAAATAAAGTCTTGATTGGGACAAATATTTATATTAGAAGCATAAGTAGAAATTTACGTGTTTTGGGGTGAACAATTTCGAAGAAAAGGGCAAAATGTTATAAATTTTTATTTAAGCAAATACTTTTTTATTTATAGCAAATATTTTTTCAATTTAAAAAATAAATTAATTAATTTCATTATTTATATCTTGGCAATGTTCATCTGGTTTTTGATAATTATAGTGTTTAATAAAGTACTTTGATATTTGTCAAAATATGATATGTTTATTTCTATTAGCGGTAACCCTAGACGGAGGGATTAGCGTGCGTTCGTCTGCGCATCTCTTCAATAAATCTGTGCGCGCGCGCACCGATAAATCGCCCGACATTATTTTTGTTACCCACTCATTAGGGTCATTGCCTGCTTATTGGCTCTTAAAATATGATATGTTAATACAATGTTTTCTTAACCACACTTGCAAATTAGGATTGTCACTCGGAATCAGTGATTTAATTTATACATTTGCGATATTTTCAGAATGATATTAATATGAGTCGTCATTTTTATAATAAGTTTATTTATTGTATCCATATTGACTGTGCACAGATAAAAATAAATGCTACAGTCAGATGCGTTGCAAAATGAAATATATTTTATTAAAATCTTTATACAGTATTAAAATCTTTTTACCGGTGGTAGGATTCTGTTAAGCCGGAGGAGTCCGACTGGGTGGGTACCACCCCCTTATATATTTCTCCCGCCAAGCAACAATGATTACATTGTTGTGTTCCGGTTTGAAGGATAAGGTAGCCAGCGCAATTACAGGCAAGAGGCATATCATCTTAGTCCTCACAGTGACAACGCACCTACGGTTCTGCATTTTTGTTACATAAAACCTAAGTGCATGAACCGTAGGTATTGTGGGCGACACGTACTGCTTTCCATCAGGTGGTCTGTCTGCTCGTTTGTCACTGACCACCATAAAAAAACAGTAGACACATGCAACAAACGTTATGAGAATTGTCGTCTGAAGAATAAAATAAGAGAGTTAGTCTACATATATATATATATATATATGTATAAAACTGATTGAATCGCTCATCTTATCCGCATTGAATTGAAAAAAGAAAATATGTTAAAAATATCAATTACAAATAATGAAATAAATACAGCAATGTACACATAGGGAATTTTCATGATATCCCATACGATGTCTTTGCTAAGGGTTATATATATAATTTTTGATGTCAAGGCTCAACTATAGTAATGGACATTAAGATCAAATGGTTTTCGTATAGTAATATAATAACAGTTTTTTTTATAAATTGTATCCCCTATCTTTTAAGACCTTTTCCAATTCCCGAATAAAATGTAATCTGTTCGTCTCTGTACAAACATTGAATTCAGAAAAAAATAAAAAAAGTAAGGTCGTACCTACTGTTATAGGTACCATATTTTCACATTCAATTGTAATTTCAAAAATGACACATAGTACCTACTAATTATTGCAAATGTATAACGCACTATTAATGGCTTGTGGAAAAAAAATGCTGTAAGGTACTTTAATTGGCCATCGCTAGTGACACTCAAGTCTTTCGTTTTCTATAGAGTCAAAAATTTTGTATTATTTCGATACGTGAGGTAGTTTTTCTGGAGACACGTGATAAAATATGAATTCTAAACATTGTAAGTACGTACGTATGTTGGGGATAAGGATAAGGACATTTAAAAAAAATTTGACACTGTTGAAAAGTAATTGCAATAAAAAAGTAAAAAGATTTAACTTAAAATAAAAAGAATTTTTGATTGGCTGTATGATATTGTATTACCGAGCTTTAATTTAACGCACAGCACCGGGGAAAGTAAAGGTTTCTAGAACCTATTAAAAAATTATGAAGGCTGCAATGACCTCATCTCAGATACCATTACCGGTATTGGAGATGATCTGTAATATAAATACGGACCGATAGTAATCGATTTACGATTTGTAAAAAAACTGATGCAAAACACTGCGCTATGGCACCATCAATGTATTTCATCATCATCTTAAAACAAGATAAAATAATTAAAAGTACAGATCCTTTAATAGTAACTCATACATAAATGTTCTCATTTCGGCTGTCAACATCTGCAATGTTTCAATACAAAAATTACTCGTATTTGTATCGGGATCGATGGGTTAATACTCTGTCACTGAATACGATACGATACGTAGCGAATGAGACATGTCGAGAGTTGTTTCACGGACGATTGGCTTGACGGGGAGACCCATTTGCGTTTTCTCAGAAACTGTAGGGCGCGAGCTAAATTGAGGATGAAAAATATCGCTTTATATTCGTAGACAGATATTATGAAAATGTAAACTCGTACCTTATATCTCTCGTGCATTATAAATTTTGAATTTTATGAATTTGTGCTAAATGCTATTAAAATATCATTTATATACTGTTGCCTATAGATAACAGTACAAAATTTAAATTATTCCCCGTACAAATTTTCATCCTTACTTTCACCTCCTTAAGGGATGATTTCCAGGATTGATTTCCGGGATAAAAAGTATCCTATGTCCTTTTCAGGGTCTTAAACCATCTTTTTTACCAAATTTCATCTAAATCGGTTCAGTAGATCCAGAGATGACCCCCTACAACGT